ATGCAAGCATGAATGTTAATAGTTAAAAGTGTATAAATAAAAAGAATTATTCCATTTTTACAGCCGGGCGCATGTTTTTAATCCTTAAAATATTACTGTCATGTCTGTCTTGTCTAGAAAGAAAGGGGAGTGGATTTTTTCTAGAAGTGGAATTTTAGGATTCGAACACACTGGTTAAAGATCGACGTTTAAAACGAGAAATACTTAGTTGATTAATAGTTAATTATTTGCTGTATCTGTGTCATCATTTTCTTCTGAGGATTGAATGCCCTGCAATCCACGTAAGGTACTCTTTAAGACTTAAAGAACTTCATCTCAGCTTCTTCACGTGCTCTAACTTAAGCATGCTCGTATTTTAAGCATAGTTTAAAAATACTTGTATAGTAATTAACTTGTAATACTTAAAATACATGTAAATCTAGATTTAAAATGCTTGTAAATCAAAAGAAGCATCGCATAAATGAGAAAGAGCTTGAATATGCATACAGTTTTAATTTTCGAGCGCATCACCAATATATATTCAGAGAACGAGAGAGAATTAAAATTTATCACCATTATAAGCAAAGTGCAATTATGGAATGTGGCACCTATCTGAACGGTTAAAATTGCACTGTTAAATTTAACGGTTAAGCTCACGGGTAAAATTAAAGAGCTATGAGCTTGGCGTCGAGCCAAATTTAATAAAATAAGGCGGTAGCCGAAAGGTTGTCATAAGAATAAATTATTTTATTTTAGAACCATCGTTGAACTGCAGACCCCATTTTGAGTTTACGACTATGAATGTTCAACTCAGTAGCTTTGCAATTTTAAACACAATCCAGGAGACAAGTGAACTCCCTGATCAAGTAGTGGGAAAAAATTTGCCTTTGTGAGGGACTTTTTGATGGAACTTACCCGCATTTGCGTTACATGGAGAGAAAAACCACGAAAACCTCCTACTGTAAGCCTATCGGAACTCAAAATGGAATGAGAATAACAACAAACGATAGAAATAACAGTTTACTTGAAATAAAATGGAAATAAGAGAAAAAGGAAATGGAATAACAAATGTACCGTTTCAACAGCCAATCAGGATCGGCACTTACAATGATGTCACTTACAGGTATCTAATTACTGTCAACATTTTACACAAAATAGTATATAACAAAATTCTTCAAATAAATACATTTTATCCGAATCCAATAAACACTAAGAAAATCGTAAATTAATTTTCTTCTAAGAATCTGACAACTAGCTTTTTATTTAAATTTTTCAACAACTTTGACCACTGGAGGAGCCATTTGTATTTGGAAAAAATGAAAAAAAAGGAAAATCAGAATCCTTACTACAATATTTTGCAAAGAACATTTTACATAAACGATTAAAACGTTACTTTTCCCTCAATGGAATGGAAACCGGTTAAATTTTTTCTTAATCGTCAGCTTTGATGATTCGTCGATCTCAAATAATTATCGGAAAAGCAATTTATCGGAATACATAAGACAGTTTCGCGAAAAATCGGACATTCTCTGATTTACAAAAATGTTTCTTTGTTCTCTTAAGAAGTGAGAAATATCATTACGTAACAAAAAGTTCTAAGTGTCTACAATTGCAACTGAACGTAAAATATTATATTTTATATTTTAATACGGCGTTGTGACTATTAACAATATATTTCTTTTACCATCAGTTTAAATAACGTAAAATCCTAAAAGTGATTTCCAATGTGATAGATAAGAGCATTCACTTAATTTGAGGTAAAAAAAATTAGTATTTTTATTGCCTACTTTTCTCGACACTACATCGAAATTATTGGTTGCAAAAAAAATTAAATGTGATAGCTAACAGAGAAATATATTCACTTCATTTGAGTTTAAATTACTATTTAATGACTACTTTTCTCGATACTGCATCGAAATTATCTTTTTCGAAACGAAAAACCTTTAAAAATATTTTTCACATCTTAAAATAAAAGCACTGTACGAAAATATTCCATTAAAAAATTGTCTGACAGTCACAAAAAAGCTTAAGCAAGAAAATAGCTTTTTTTACCTTTTTGCATCACAATTCAGATAATTTGTTTTTTAATTCCTCCAAAATAATTCTTTTTCCTATAAAGCTTTATGGAAATTTTTTACTGAAACATGAATGAAAAAAAGCAATTTATAGCTTGTTAATTTTTAAGCTTTAATTATTAAATCATGAATAATTAGGTGATTAACGATTCAATGATAAATTAAACAGTTTATTTTGCTCGAACGCGTTCAAGTTTTTCAAACTCATTAAAAAGTTTAATACTTAAAATAAATCTTTGAATGACGTCTCTTTTAATCCAATATTAAAAAATAATCCTTAATCCGATAAGAAAAAAAAAAAAGTTTTTAAAATATTTTGATTTTGAAAAAGAAAATTCCAGAAGTTAAATGCGATTAAGAAAATTTTCTTAATTGGCTAATTTAAAATGAATTGAGAAAAAAAAATTTAAATAGGAAAAATATTTACATCTTAATTTTTCTTCAAAATTCAATATAGAAGCAGATGTCAAAAATTTTTTAAGCAGCGTGTTTACCTGTGAGCAGTGACTTTAATAATTAAACAACTTCATCAATACTTCATTATCAAACGTCCTCGCTATCATAATTTTGCAAAATTATGAGAATCGGCCTCAACTATCCTCTTTATAGCAATAACCCTCTCTCCGTGGAGAGCAGGAGATATTTTCCACTTATGACGGTGATCTACGGATAACTTCAGAAAACACTGATAAGTATATTTATTTTACAAACATCGTTGAACAACCAAGCCAATTTTGCCCTTACGGCAATTAATGTTCAACTCCGTAGCCTTGTAATTTTGAACTCAATCCAGAAAACAAGGGAGCTCCTTGATCAAGTATTGAGAGAAATTTCGCCTAGTCCACAATTACGTTGAATGGAGAGAAAAACCACGAAAAATTCCCACAGTTAGCCTGACGGCAAGGCTACTTTAACTCATGATCCATCTACCACTGAGGATATTTTACTTCATCTCCGTGTTCTGTGCGGGATTCGTATTGACCAGCCATAACTGGGATTTAAACCCAGTTGACGTCATTGAAAGCCAAATGCTCTATTGTTAAAATAAAGGTTGGCGTGTGGTCAAGAAGAGAGAACTATTTAATCATGTGCGTCCGTTCTTTTGCTCGTCAAAATTAGGCGTAGTTTTGAACACACAATGTTTAAATTCGGTAATTTCTTAATACGTTTTATGAAAAATTCTTTACAGTCTTGGAAATCTCACCCACCAAAAAATGATCTTTAATAATTTTATCATTAGGTAATACGTTTAATGAGTTTTTTTAAAATAAATTCCAAGTATATTTTAGAGTACCATTGAAAGAAAAAAAATTCTATAAAGATTTTAAAAAATACAGTAATCTTTAAAATTTGTCTTATAATTTCTTAAGCTCATGCTAATGTTTCTGTAATTTACCTTTTATCATGAACTACTACTTATAATTTTAATTACTTATTGTTTGAATTTACATTTAGAATTATTTTTATTAACAATTTTTGTATAAATATATATTTTTCTGTGAATGACCGAAATTTGTGAATATTGACAATCACATAGTCGCTTCGGTAAATGTCCAAAATATATACTTGGTCTAGTTAAATGTCATTGCCGGTATAAATTCGCCCGGTATGAGTATGTACACTTTACCATGAATATATGCACTTTACCATGAGTATGTACACTTTATCGTACATAGACGTATGTAATTTTTCTGAAGGAACATTTAAATTTCACAGAACTATAATTCAACAATCTAACTTTATGATTCTGCTCAACAAACTTAGCGATTTCTTGAGAACACAGTGAAAATTGTAGATTGCATAAGTTAAAAAAATAAGCACTTAAATTTATGAAATAGAACGTTTGAAAGTCTACCACATTCTCTTCAATAGATTTAGGTTTTTTTTATGAAAGTTAGAGACTTTAAATATGTTTCTTCCAATTTCCACATATCCGTCAGCATTAAATGTACCGCCATTAAACAAATAACCAATAACCAATTATTGCAATTTACAAATTTTAGTCATGTCCGTCAATCGCCAGTAGTCAATTAACAAAAATTTGTCCTATGGCTGGTGATGCATTCATACATCGCTTGAACTAGAATACAGAAGATTCAGGAATGACAGATTGAAAAATTAAAGGCAAACTCATTTATTTATATTTTTATTCAATAGAGTTTAAATTTTTATTTAATAGAGTTTAAATTCTAATGCTTGCGTTCTGTTTCCAAATTTTATGCAAACTGTTTGCTTGTGTTGAACTATCTATATTCCATAATTTCAAATTTGCAGATCCCTGAAATTTAATACAAATATAGCAAGTATTCCATATTTTTAGTTTTGTTATAAACAAAATAATCTACTATTTGATATTACTCAGAAATAAGATTTAAACCAGATTTAAATAATAAATCAGTTGAAATGCGCGGTAATACCGAATTTTAGGTTCATCAACTTTAAATTATGCTATTGTGAAAAAATGAAACTTAGTCCTAATTTTATGGGGACAGTCTTAGAATGGATTGTCACTTATCAAATCTTCCAGACCACTAATAAGACTATTTTGTATCAAAGGTTTTCAATAACAGACAATAACATCTTACAAAAATCTCACTTCATTACCATAAATAAGCTTTGATTCAACTCTATAAGGAATAAGAACATAATTTACGAAGCCATTGCACATTATCCTAACAAAAAAATTCTTGAACAAGAATATTGATTATCAATTTTTACACTCAAGGAATTCCACTAATCGTAAATGACCATTTAAAAAAAATCAAGATATCAATGTTGTCCGATACGAATGGAACACTAAAACATAAAAATACATAGAATCTTTGAAAATGTAAAAACGGAACGTTTTTTCAAACTTAAACATTTTGACTCCGTCAATACAGATTATCTTGGTAGTGTTAAAACCTGGACATTACTACTGCACTTAAGTTCAGTAAAAAACGGGAAAATATTCAAAGCACTTTATTTTTAAAAATGTTCCCACGAAACACTCATTGATAAAAATGGTACAAGTTTAAAAGTAGTCCTCAGAAATTCACAAGTCAGTCTGAGTCACCAGACTTGTTGTCATCATCTTCAGCCTTAGATCGTTTGGTTGAAGGTTCCTTACTGGAAGACACCGGCGAAACACTGCTGCCTGATTTAACATCTTGTGTGTCTACAGACGTAGACTCCGTAGGAACCCCTGAAGATTCAGATGGCAGCATTCCATCGTTAAAAAAACCAATTGAAAGAGCATCACTGGACCAAGACTGTTTGGATATTTTGGGAGAGAGTGGTTTCTTTTGGACAGCAGGATCAGCTTTTTTCTTACCTTCAGGCCCATCTGTGGTTTCCTTACTCGAACTATAGAAATGACTGAAAAAACCTTTTGGCTTTGGTTCCTTGCTAGTTTGCTCACCATCTTCAGTTTCGGTCTCTTTACTTGTAGACGCTGAATGGGATTGGAAGAAACCTTCCTCAGGCTCGATTCTTGTTTGGAGATCAACAACTTTCCTGTAGTCTGTAGGATCAGAAATTTTGCGAGAGTGCCTTTCAGATTCAGGTTTAGAGGCTTGGATGCTTGTATCAGATTTCCGAAATGTTTTCTTAAAGACGGCTTTTGCTTTTGAAAAAGGACTTGACAATCTACGTTTTTTAGGATTTTTATTTCTAAACGGGTTACACCTTTTCATCATACCGGTGACCTTTTTACCCTCTTTGGATGATCTCGCGCCACTTCCGCTCGCTACCGGAGATACCTCTGCTCCAGCAGGGAGAGGAGGGGACAACAGACAACTGTCCTCATCATCACCAGGACTTAACTCGTCCTTTGGTGTATCATCAGATGGGTCAGATGAGTGCTCTGATGGCTCATCATCTGGCTTATTTTTCTTTGGTTGATCTTTTTTAGACATCTGTAACAAATTTACAGATATAAAAACTATTTCACAAGTATAAACTACCTGGGGAAAATTTTTTGTAGTTTAAATGCACAGATGTGTTGCTTCTTATGAAGTGAACTAGTGCTGTGATGCCGCTTCTATAGATCCTTAATGCTTTTACGGAGTCTGATATAGTAAGAAGTAAAATTACAGTAAATTAGTGAAGCTTCCATAATATATGAGCAACTTCTTTCTCCCGAAGGCATTGAATTCTGTAGTTTTTAAAGTTAATACTTAATAGAAAATAGTTCATCCGAAGAGTCCGAAAAGTACTGCGATATTGACATGGGTCAAAGAAAATTAAAGATCCTAATGCAGGCATCAAGAGGTGGATAACAGTCAACTGCAAAATTTCAATAGTATTATAGAAGTTTCGGGTTCACTCGCGTAAAAATTAGTCTAATTCCATCAAAAGGTTATGCAGACGTAAAACAAGATATACTTAGAGATAAAGTCTTGTTTCAGATAGTTAATATGTAGTACATGTTCAATAAAATGAGTTTAGACGTTAAGTACAAACAGCAAAATTTTTAACTTGTCAATTGAAAAACTTGCACATATTTAAAAATTTATAGAAACAGGGAATCAAATGGAATTTGGTTAAAGCCCATATTGGGATCCAAGGCAATGAGGTGTACGTAACAGCCAAAGTAGTCACTAGTCTCAGCCGGATTGAATACGAGGTCCCGAGATGCAAAGCCCAGATCAAATAGATCAATAGAAGCCAAATCAAGATTTTCACCCAGACAGAGGAAAAATGTTTGTAGATCCAGGGAAAACAGCTGTCAAACATTAGAGTTTCTCAAAGATCCTTCTACTTCGAGACTGCTGGCCAAATCCCACTTTAATAAATTCTTAACGGATCATGGAGCCTTATCATAACAGGTTTTTTAGCAAATCAGCAGAATAGTCCAATGCTGAAACAGTTATCAAGACTTATGTCAATTCAATTTTGTCCATAAATACCAAGCACTCCGTGAAAGTCCCCTTGATAATTTGAATACAGAACAATGGTACTCCACGTTGGGATGCAGAAACATTAAAGCAATCGTCAAAACTCTTCTTGAAGACTTAAATATTCACCAAAAATATAAAATTTTACATTAGACGCAATATTCACTAGACTTCAATTCATTTATTTGTTTTCATTCTTCATTGCCCTCTCTTGTTTTATCCTCTTAAGAATCTTATCCTTCTATGCTTGTTAACTTATTCATTTTAGTTCTCATTTTACACAATCTGTTTTAAAAATATTTGTATATTGGTGTTTTCTTTTGACTTTAAACTCTTCAAACATTTAAACTATACAATTTTTATTCTCATTTCGGTGTTCATTTTAACTTTTACATAATCTACTTTTAAATTTTAGCTTTGCTCGAACATTTCATAACTTTGAACTTCTTTAAATTCTCATTTTAATGGTATCCTTTTGAGTCTTTTAAAACAACTTGATTTTAACCTCTGGCTATTTGTTTCTCAGCATGACTTCTTCAGCAACATTATAAAGGTATTCCGGTCTACTTGCCAAGCACACTGCCTTCATGCGATGTCATGCGATCTGTCTTGTGTAGTAACTAAGGAAATTTCATTTTGGACAACTAGGAATACCTTTAAAAGTTACTCAAATGCATGCAAACAAAGTGAAAACAGAAACTACCGTTAACTAAATACTAGAAAGCGAACCTTTTAAGAAACCACTTTTAAAAATTGACATATCTATAGTTTTATTATTCTAATTAGGTTTCTATTAGGTATAAAATATTGAAAAAAAATTCAGATTTTACCAAGGTTAGTATTTTTGCAAGTGCGAAAATTCAGTTCTTTTACAACAATAAAAAACAAATGCTCAAGTAACTTTTTGATCAAAAAGAATATTCTTGCTTTAAATTTGTATCAAATATGCATTCTTTACTATTAAATTCAGACTTTACTATTAAAACGAAACTTCCAAGTTTATTTGCTTTCCCAGTATTTCAACTGAGAGAAAGGCATCTAGGAAAACAACTTTATTTTCATTTGTAGTTTAGAAAAATGCATATATTTTAATCCATAATATTGTGAAATTATTAGTAGAACCATGCACTTCTAAAAGTAATTTTTAAAAATAATCTATTAATCTAATCCTGTTATGAATTTTAACAGAGTTCCATTATATTTTTAATATTTCATATTAATACTATGTAAACTCACTATAAAAAAATCTGGAACTTCGTTTTAGTTGAAATAGTTAATCTAATGGCCAGGGTTTTCAAAAACTTCCAAAAAGTATCCCTGAATTTTATTTTGAATGCTAGCAAACTCAGAATAAAAATACTTTGAAAAATTACCATTGATTATCAGTCATTTAATGTCCATTCACATCAAAATTTAGAAAATTAGAAATTTAATGTTTTATTTTTAACTGGTCTTAAAGACATGCTAGGTATGTAGTTAACCTTCTGAGTATGGTGTACTATGCTGTACCATCACATGTGGTCTACATGTTGTTCCAGCCGCAAGCAGAAGGTTGAGCAAGGAGTTGTAGAGCAGAGTCTTGCATATAGAATTTAAGCTTAGTATTTAATCTCCAACTACTAATCTATTAAATTATATCTCAATTAAACTTTATATAAACAGGTAATTAGGCTTAACAATTTTTGATTGTTTTTATTTTCTTAGCTTAAAAGTTAAAAATAAATGTTAACTCAGTTACGTTAAGTTTTTTTTTCTTTGATGCAAAGGCTTGACGATTTGACGCTACGAACTAATGTTTCATTTTCCTAGAATTTTGTTTTTGTAAGAACTCTAATTGCGTAATTTCAAAACTTACTTTTATGATTGGAAAAAAAAGAAAACGTTTAAGTTTTAGACATGCTTTATTACAACAGCACAGGATTGAAATCTGCTCTCATTTAATCAAAATAATTTGTTAAATTCAGTCAGAAATCCGTATTTCCACCACATTGGAGTAGGAAAATCGGACACACGACAGGCGTATCCATTATATAGAAAATTATCAATGCAATATTTTTTAAACTGGTTCTTAAATAACTGCTCTTAAAACGAATTTATAGAATAAGTTTCACAAAAAAGGAAGTTTATCAAGTGGAATATTAGCCACAACTATTTACGTCTAGTAGATTCAGAGAGGGGGAGTTCTCTAGTTTTAGATATATAAGAACACTAACATCCGATTTAAAACTTATATACTATAGTTTAAATAAAAAAATAAAATGGTATTAGCATCAAGTATTCAAGTCATCAAGTATTATATAAAAATGATTAACACCCGATTTGAAACGTTTATACATTAATTTAAATAAACAACTAAAATAGTATAAGCATAAAGTCATCAAGTATTATCTAAAAGTATTATTTTTTTAAAATCAAGAACTGTAATAAAACGTAATTAACTTACCGTCACTTTCCAAGGAAATAAGATTAAAAAAATGAAGACAAGCACACTGTTACAAGAATCTTCGTATTGGCGCACGAGTTAAAATCAGTCAAGAAGAATATACAACATGGAAACTTGAGATCGACTCTTTTATAAGTTTCTTTGCTCAAAATTCAATAATACATTTCCAGCTGCCTATTTCTGTTTCAATTTAAGACAACCTCGGTGAGTGACCGATGTGTTATTTTTTGTCCTCTTTCAAAGGCACCAAAGTGGGAGTGTATAAGATTTTATTGAGGTCGTAATCTGAGATGCATGTCTACACTGTGAGATGTTCGTCTGTAATTTTCTGAAAACATTACATAACGATTCAGAAAACATTATTTGTTGTGAGCAGAAGTTTCTGATTTATCGATGAAACTGATCGATCTATGAAACTATATCAATCATCAAATTGACTATATAGCTGAGTACACAAACTCAATTTATTTATTGTTGTCCCGCAGTGGACTGATCGTTAAGACACGGTTCCCAGCAGATCACCGAAGCATCACTGGCTGCTGTCAGTGTGCGGGTGGGTGACCACTTGGATCAGTCTGCGTAGGGACCGAGGGTGTGCGGTATGGGTCCTCGTTAAACTGTTCTACCGTAAAGTGCTCGACTTCGCGCAGGTCGTCGGGCTACCGAAGCGGGGGTGAAATCCCCTCTGCGGAGGATCAAAATTGTGATGGCATGTCTTCGGATCATCCTCAGAGATGTTTCCCAGACCGTCGCCAATAGCCCATTGCGCAGCTCTAGTGCGACGTAAATGAACAAAGCAAACAAAAAGCAAACAATTTATAGTTACACATAATTATGTGGGATTTTGTACTCAGTACAACGTATGGCTTATAAGTCTTTGTCAAGTTGAAAAGCACGTAGCACAAGTCAGAGAACGGGTAGGGATTCAAACCCGCTACCTATACGATTCAGAACATTTATCGGAACAGAGATATCACTCGGTCAGAGAGGCCTTACAGTTGTATAGAACAGATACAAGCGAATCGCTTTTATGCGATTCAGTTTTTACAACTAAATCATGTGTAACAAGCAACATTTCAGCGTTACAACAGAACAAAAGCTGTTATTCACATTTCGTCACTTAAATCTCCAAACTTATAAGCAAATAGCATAGACACACTAAATATTTAGATTTAGTTAACCATATAGAAGGATGGGTTACATTAAATGTGTTAGAAAGGTAATGTTCTCAGAGTCGTAGTCAGAAACGTATAAGTATCGGGGTTGATTCCTGCCGTAGCCTACCCTTCTTTTTTTGTAATGATCGTCTATAATTTAAGTAATACCTGTTTAAATTGGACTGGGTCTTGGTAGATAAGAGTTTAGAGAATCGGACTCCGGTCCGGAGGGGCCGGGGTTCGATCCGCTTCTCCGCTAAGATCCACCTAGTAATTTCAATATATGTGCTCATAAAATATGTGGAATTCGAAAAACTTCTCGCTGATCAGTGTTATGAACACAAGGATTTGGAGAAAATTTCCTTTCTCTTCAGATCTATGCCTAAATTGAAGAAGTTTTGTCAAAAATGGGATTTTATTTGCAGAGGATCAAAATTGTGAACGTATGTCTTCGGATCATCTCTAAGGATGTTTCCAAGACCGTTCACAAAAGCCCTATTGTGCAGCTCTAGCAGGACGTAAATTAAGTACCTGCCTAACTATCTTAAATTAGACTAGCGGCTTCCATGGTCAAGGACTTCCACCTAAAGTTCTGAAGTGGGAAGGTTTAAATTCCGCAGCAACCTTGATTGAACTTTTCTAATATCCTTCTTTAGAGCCATGATGACTCAGGAGATAGAGTGTTTGCCTTCCAATGAGGTAACCCGGGTTAGAAACCCAGCGATAGCTGATCGATACGAATTCCACACCCAACTCGCAACGACCACAGTGCTGGCGTTAAATATCTTCAATGGTAGAGTAGTCTTGCCGTCAGCCTAATCTGGGGAGGTTTTCGTGGTTTTCCACTCCAAGTAGCACGCATGTAGATTAGTTCCATCAAAAATCCACGAAGGCAAATTTCTCTCAATACTTGATCCAGGAAATCCCTTGTCTTCTGGATTGGGTTCAAAATTCCTAGGTTAAGTAGTTGAACATTAAGAGTTGTAAACCCTAAATTGGATCAGCTGTTCAACTTCAGTTATAAATTATAAAATAAAATATCCTTCTTTAATTTATTCTAGCCGTTCTTCAATTTTAAAAGAGCTTATAAGCCATCCATCCAGCTCGTAATGTAAGTTATTCAGTTTGTCGGAGAAATTCTTAAAAAATCAGCAAAAGAACTCGGATATCCAGTTACTATGATTAGATTTTGGTGCATCCTTATTTACAAACTATTTTATTTTAGGAATTACATAATTTTGGTCTGACCGTTATGCAGATGTGAAATTAGTCCTTTCTTAAACTTAATGCAAGTTTATTAGTGACACAACCGGATTCAATTGAATAGGATTAAATGTGATATTTACGAGCAAAAAGTAGAAAAAGAAAGCGTTGAATCAAAGAGTGGATGATAGACTAAACCAGGAAGGAAAAACTAAACACTACTCTTTATCTTCATAGCGTGCATGGATACGATAATATAGTGCATATTGAGCTGTGATAGCTCAAGGGATAGAGCTTTCGCCTTCCAATGAGGTGCACCGGGTTCGAATCCCCAGCGATGGCTGGTCGAAACGAATCCGCATCCGGCTTGTACCGACCACAGTGCTGACCTGAAATATCCTTAGACGGATCGTGGGTTAGAGTCCCCTTGCCATCAGACTAACTGTGGGAGGATCTCGTGCTCTTCCTCTCCACGTAGCGCAAATGCGGATTAGTTTCATTAAAAAGTTCTCCACTAAAGCAAATTTCTCCCACTACTTGATCCAAAAGTTCCCTTGTCTTCTGGATTGGGTTTAAAATTACAAGGCTACGGAGTTGAACATTAGTAGTTGTAAACCCAAAAAATTGGTTCGGCTATTCAACGACGGTTATAAAAGAAAAGAAAATATAGTGAATACTGTTATAGGTTTAGTCACATGTGATTAAAACAGATAAAATTCTCAAACTCAATAAAACAGTTACACTCTATTTAAAGCATTAGTAGCGGGTATTCATAAGTGATAAACGGTCTTCTCCAGTTTCTGTCAAATTTTAAGGTCATATAAAAATCTGGTTATTTTCAGTCTAGTTGCTGTTGTTAATTTACGTCGCACTTGAGCTGCACAATGGGCTATTGGCGACGGTCTGGGAAACATCCCGGAGGATGATTCGAAGGCATGCCATCACAATTTTGATCCTCTGCGGAGGGGATGGCACCCTCGCTTTGGTAGCCCGACGACCTGTGCGCGAAGTCGAGCACTTTACGGTAGCACAGTTTAACGAGGACCAATACCGCACACCCTCGGTCCCTACGCAGACTAATCCAAGTGGGTCACCCACCCGCACACTGACCGCAGCCAGTGATGCTTGACTTCGGTGCTGGGAACCTTTCAGTCTAGATTCATCTTACTCCAGTTAAGAGCTTGTGCGCTTTGAGATATTTCAAACACTTTGGAGAATAAATTTATGATTATATCTATCGCTGTCTAAAGACATAATTTTATGTATTCATTGAGAAGATCTATTGGGTACTTTGTTTACGTGGCACTGGAGCTGCACAATGAGCTATTGGCGACGATTGGTTGTCTTGCTAATGGACATGGAAAATAAATCACTAATAAAACAATAAAACTCCCTATAGGACCAAAGATCCAATAAACTGCTTCAGCTATATCAAAGCAAATGTCCGGAAAAAGATCTTCTTGTGGAAAGTCACTAATCTGTTATAAGATGGGCAAAATGCCTGGACAGGAGAAAAGATGTTCAGGTGACACTCTGTGAAACATTTCCAATGGGAGAACCTCCTCCTCTATGGTAGATAGCATTTTACGGTTGAATAGCAAGGAGAACCGATACCGTGCACTCTCGGTCACTTTGCAGGCTAATCAAAGTGAACACCCACCCGCTTACTCACAGCTGCCAGTGATGCTCGACTTAGGTGATCTATTGGGAACCGTGTTTTATGATCCATCTACTGGGACTTATTTATTTATTATTATACATTCGTATACAGGTCCATGTGCTGATTACAATGTACGAAGTTTAATCCCTTGGCATTGAAGAACAAATCGAACAAATTAGGAAAGGACAGTACAAAGATAGATCCAGGGTTACAGGGAGGTTCGAACCCACTACCTACCCGCTTCAGAGTGTTTGACAACCAAAAAATGTTTCCCCAGTATCTTCTAATTTATTTTCTGAGAATACAAACGGTAAAGGTAATTTAATTGCGAAAATGATAAATGGAATTGAAAAATTCTCCCTAAGGGTAGTTAAAGCTGAAACACTCTGAAAAACAGACTATAAAAAAGTTCATTTATATTTCATTTAGTAAAACAAATCCTTTGACCTCTGTATATTATGTCTGTAGTAATCTTAATTCATTTTATGATTTGGTTGAAAAACTTTCATTAGTTAAAAAAATTTTGATCCTAAAACCTTTTTGTTAATTCAAAGCATAATTTATGTATTGTCAATGAACTTACCTTTAATAATGCGCTAACTTATAATTAATTAAAAATACGCGTAGTATTTAATAAGCTCGAAATTTACCATTCTTTTATGAAAAGAAGTTAACACGAGAATTAGAATTAACCTTCAAAAATGAAAAACCTGGGAACTTATTTTCTGAAATATTTCAAAATAAAACAGTAAAATGCAAGAAAATGCCAGTTTTTTTCACTCTTAATAATTTTATATTTAATCTAGTGAAATTCTAATCGAACTTCATTTCACCAGGAAAAAAAAAACTTATCATCCTTGTCTGGAAATTTTTTTTCTGCATTAATGTCCTAGTTCTAATGATTTTTCAACACATATCATAGTACAGACTTATAAAAGAACGAGAAAAAAAACATTATGGATCTAATGACTAGGTTTTTTCTTCTTTTAGTTATCGGTTTTCCCTACAAGCGGGTTTTAAAGGAACTTATCCTATTTTCCTTAAACAACTTTCTTCTTTTTTGCACTATAATTATAATTCATAAAGGTATTCAATAATTCCAGTATATATTTCAATTTAGTGGTAAGCCTTAAAAATGCATAAAATTCCTTATAAATATTTTATTCTGATGTATTTAGCATTTTAACTAATTTCCTA